CTCTCAGAAATTCGTTTAAGCAATTTTAATTTCAACCGAGGTTAGTGATTAGTTTCTGAAAAAAGGCGCTAAAATTACTTTAATTTGGAGCATTTTCAACTCCACAAAGAGAAGGAGATTTCAATAGCTTTATTTCCGGAATTACTACTTCAAAACGAAAGCTTTTGAGTTGATCGGATTTATTTGATAACTGAAAACATAGAACTGGAGTGCTGTTAGACATTTTGTTTATTTTCAGTCGATTTTATCCTTGTTGTTTGAAATTACAGGACCCTAAATTAATTAATTCAGGTTCCATGCGTCAAGCCCGACTTCCATCATAAATATTCTTCTACTGGGTTTCTCTTTTTCGTCGTCAGCGAAGTGACTTAGTCTTAGTCGTTTGGTATGGTCATCTGGGTTTTTTTTTTATTGTTTTGATTGTTTTATTGTCAACAAACGTGCAGGTCATGTTGAAACGCGACTCTAGAAAAGTGAAAAGTTTCCATGTGTATTTTGGCTTTGTTACAAAAAAATTATGTCTCGATGTTGTCTCCTGCTCAAGTCTGATTGGGAAAGTCGGGAAAAATGTAAACCCAAGTTGTTCATATTAAAATTCCAGACGTTATGAGATAGTGGTCATAAGGGTGATGAAATGTAGCTTTTTCCAGGCTCTAATAGCCTGCAGTGCCGGCGTATCTTGGGCGCACGAGTGCACATTTTCGTATTAGGCCGCCATCTTGGATTTGGTAACTGTGGAGGATTGGGGCGAGGAAATATTTGCCGAGGGAGTAGGTGTTAAGTGGAAAAATGGGCAACGGGGGAAAAGGAAGGGAAGGATTTTTTCCTCCCTCTCCCCCGTTGCTCATTTTTCCACTTAACACCTACTCCCTCGGCAAATATTTCCTCGCCCCAATCCTCCACAGTTACCAAATCCAAGATGGCGGCCTAATACGAAAATGTGCACTCGTGCGCCCAAGATACGCCGGCACTGCAGGCTATTAGAGCCTGGAAAAAGCTACATTTCATCACCCTTATGACCACTATCTCATAACGTCTGGAATTTTAATATGAACAACTTGGGTTTACATTTTTCCCGACTTTCCCAATCAGACTTGAGCAGGAGACAACATCGAGACATAATTTTTTTGTAACAAAGCCAAAATACACATGGAAACTTTTCACTTTTCTAGAGTCGCGTTTCAACATGACCTGCACGTTTGTTGACAATAAAACAATCAAAACAATAAAAAAAAAAACCCAGATGACCATACCAAACGACTAAGACTAAGTCACTTCGCTGACGACGAAAAAAAGAAACCCAGTAGAAGAATATTTATGATGGAAGTCGGGCTTGACGCATGGAACCTGAATTAATTAATTTAGGGTCCTGTAATTTCAAACAACAAGGATAAAATCGACTGAAAATAAACAAAATGTCTAACAGCACTCCAGTTCTATGTTTTCAGTTATCAAATAAATCCGATCAACTCAAAAGCTTTCGTTTTGAAGTAGTAATTCCGGAAATAAAGCTATTGAAATCTCCTTCTCTTTGTGGAGTTGAAAATGCTCCAAATTAAAGTAATTTTAGCGCCTTTTTTCAGAAACTAATCACTAACCTCGGTTGAAATTAAAATTGCTTAAACGAATTTCTGAGAGCTGCACAGCTTAACTACAAGGACTTTTTCGTCCTTATTTCGAAAAAAGGCACGTGCAAATTCCTAGCTAGACATGTTTGGGTTGAACTTTGTATTTGCTATCGTTCCCATATTTTTCTGAGAACAAAACCGAGGAAGTTAGACAAAACATCATGCTCAACATAATAAGACTCTGCTTTTAATGAGACTAAACGGTCAAATACGTGGGAAATAATGTTATCGCAGTAAGAACAAAAGTATCTTAGGCCTCATTCTTCCAATACAAGTAACTTTGAATCAAAAGCTTAACCTTCCAATTGCGTGATTTTGCAAGTCTCCTGTGGTAGTTGCTAAGGTAAATGGGAAGGTCTCCGAACCCCAGTATCACAGATACTAATATAAAATTTACCTTACGTTAGTATCGCTGGCTTTGTGTGCAGATGTACAGAGTAAACAAAGAGTCAAGAGGTTTGGGCTCAGAACGAATCAGAAGGAGTGGACACCCTTACCGTGGAAATGGCAGTACCCCTCCCCCGAAGTGCCAGTGTCCTTTCTGTACTCGTGTGGGGGGCTCCTGTTTAGATCGGTACTCCTTGGGGAGCTGAGTGGGACCCAATCCTCCATAGCTTAGACTGCGACCCCATGGTACCTTTGGTGACCTGCTGGTCCGTGACAGGTAACGGTCAAACCTGATGATGAAAAGAAAATGCAATTCTCACCGAGCATTAACGAAAGGATGCAGGGGTGAATACTGAGGCTGGGTAAAATAACTCAGGATTGGAAATTGTCTTGATAAGGCAGGATGGTGGCGGAAGAACTATTGCAGAGGCGGATCCAGTCATTTTTGATGGGAGGGGGGGTCCAAACTTTAGTTCAGAAAGGACTGTTGGACTCTTTTGAGGCAAATTACTTCTCCCCCACACCTCCTCCCACCAGTCGCGGTTGCACGTTATAATTCCTTGGCCGCTTACCGTTTACTTGGAATTATTAAAAAAATCAGCCAGTTAAAAAGTGATGTATGATCCTGTCTAAAAGTTGTAAGCGTCAGGTTTGATAGGGGGGGTCCGGACCCCCCAGACCCTCCCCCTGGATCCGCCACTGTATTGTCTTCGTGTGCCACACCATGTACGCCACGCCACGCCACGCCACGCCACGCCACGCCACGCCACGCCACGCCACGCCAATAGACCAACGAGGCTTGCACGCATCCAATTTTTCGGTACAATTTCAAAATGTTTCTCAGACTTTCCAAACCATTCTTTTCATTTTCAACTCTCGGTTATGAGTCATATCACAGGGTTCGGAAAGAAACGATCACTTAGGAAACGCGGGTTTTTAAGAAGTTTGCTGCGATTTTAAAAATTCAGATCTTGCAAATAAAACGCAATTTAGGAGCAATTCAATCACGTAAACAGCTTGTCGCCAATTCAGAATTTCAAGACTAAAGTTTTAGTTTCCATACTTTTTCGGATTCTTGACTCCCAGAACCCTTGAAAATATAGACCTATCAAGCTATGTTTCAATTCAGGGTGGGGAATCTTAGGCCCGGTTCAGACGCCGAACTTTTCTTGAGCCGAACTCACCCAAATTAACAAAAGTACGCCTGTTGATTCAGACGCCGTTATTTTTGGCCGTCTCAAATACAGTTCCAGTAAAAACCAGTCAAACTGCTTGCAAAATACATGATAATAATTTATGCATTAGGATCGGCACATAAAAAGTACGGCGTCTGAATCAAAGCCGTTCCAAAGGCGAAATTCTCGGCCAAGCCAAGCGGGAAGAACGGGTGAGCTGTTCCAGATTGATTCAGACGCCGATCTTAATTCAAGGAATTAGGTTCGGCTCATGAAAAGATCGGCGTCTGAACCGGGCTTTAGACGTCTGATTCCTTGGTCTGACGACAAGTAATTGCTGAAACTGCGCAACTTTCACGATTTCCGCTCTTTTCCATGTTCGTTGTGAATACGGTAATCGCTTTTGCCGCTTTGCCAGCTTATTGGAAAGTTTTGGCTCATAAGCGTTGAATAAACCGCACATTTTTGGTGATGTGTGAGCGGGGTACAATAAGCTTTAGTGTGTTATGAAAGTAAAACTCTACTCTGGGTGCAAAAATCAATTGGGAACCACGAGAGCATTCGCAACGAAGAGAGAAAATCACAGAGAAATGGAACTCTCTAAAAAATAAAAACATCGTTTCCCGGTTACAAACAGTCCCATTAACAGATTGACAACATCTGCAAACAAAACGTGTTGCCCACAAATGAAACCACCTGTGAAAGCTGTCTATGACAATCAGTTAAGCTTGGAGGCATTTAGTACGTTAACAATACAAGGCGAAATGCATCCATGTTCTAACTTCATAGCGAAAGTCACACGCAACATCATACGTTAATAACGCTAGCAAAAAATTAAATGATCGTTGCAACATTTTATTTTGGACCAAAACATCAAATGCTCGACAGATAATTTTCGCAAATAATGTCGAAGGTACCGTTATTCCAGGCATTTATAGAACACTCACAGATGCACTTAAAACTGAAAAACTATAACTTCATCACGTTCCCTCTCACGTATTCTTTTAGTAAGTGCTTTTTAATCGTAAACAGAAATTTGTAAACTGAAATGCAGGAAAAAAAGTTAGAGCATGGCCATTAACTTTGTAATTTTAGTCAAACACAAAAGGTAAATAGTGGTTTGATTATTTTCGTCGGGTCCAACATCACGAATCTTACTTAAGAAACCAGTTTCTCGATGATAAGTATATTTCGAACATTAAAACAACCTTTCAACCCAGTTCAACTCCATAGCAACGTGTTAGCAACGGTTCCGCATGGTTTGTGTCAGATGAGTATTAAAACAGACACAACGCGCCGAAGCATTCTTTACCGCAATTTCACAACGAAATAAAGCGAGAGTTACTGATCTCATTGACTCTAAAACATCTTTTAACACGAAGAAAACACAGCCGTTGTCCCTGCCTTGTACTTACTGATTTTGTGACACGGTAATCCTATCATGGTGCTGCGGAGTATGCAGAAAATGCGACTCGAAATTCCTCGACAACAAATCGACACCTTGATGTTCTTTGTATAATCCTTGTTGCAACGCAGTAATCATTGTGTTGACCAATACTTTCGTCGCAGATTGACACAGTTGCTGCCAAACTACATGGCGAATTTCTCAAATAGTTTTTCTAAAGTTAAAAAACTTTTGCGAATTCTCTGGCGCACATCCGGTATTCCGACAGTATCGCACTATTAATAATAAACATGAATTCGCCTAGGAGACGCCAACGTTTCTGATTGGTCTATTACACAATAGGACATATAGCCATTGCTTGGATTTGATTACAGTTCTTACTGACTCAGTCTGACAATAACAAAAGTTCTCCATTCTTTTAACGATGATTAACAAGCGCGTACTCATTCGTGGGCAGTATTTTTTTTGGTCTTTTATAGGAACACATGTTCAAAATGGCTTGAAACGTGTCATGATTGCTCGATAAGTCACCTGGGATCGAACACGCGGTATTGAGGGCATAACTCGGAAACTGTTCCCCCGATGAAAAGAAAAGACAAAACAAACAAAAAAGGCAAACGAAAATTAAAAAAAAAAAACAAAACAAAACAGAAACATTTAAAAATCTTCTTCTTTCTCAGTCGCTTCTAGAGCTGGATTATTGATGGATAAATTAATAAAAGTGATGTTAGACAAGCTGGGAAGATCTCATCAAAGCTTTTAGTTCAATAACTTCATTTAATGGGAGTTGTAGCTAATGCCGTTTGTTGAATTTTCTCATAAATTTTTCCCTTATTGTTTTTACTTTAAAGTCAATAAAATTTCAAACGCTCAAAATTCCAAAAACATATGGCATATCTCTCTGTTACACAGTGTACAAAAAGAACCCCATCTGTTCTAAATATCTCAAGATTTTCATACAGAAATGTAGCATCTGAGGAGCAGATTACTGTAACAGGAGAGTATGATTTCCTTTTCCCAATGATAACTAGCTCAGTTCATCGAAATTCAGCGGGAGGGTTCTGCATGGTAGCGAGAGCATTCGCTATGTCCAATGTCTAAAAAAACATAATAGTGTCGCTCAAATGATTTATATGCGCAATACAGGATACCCGGTCACCTTGAACTCAGCGAGTAAACGACTTGATAACAATTAAGTCCTGAAGGAACCAACCAAAACATTGTCTGAATCTGTTAGACCGGTTAAAGTGACAAAAAGTGTCTCTCGGAAAGTGGGTTTCGACTCCTCTCTAGGCCAATCAATCAACGAGTTCAAAATTCACGATCTATCTTATATTTCACTTGGGAAGCTTCCGAAACAGCTGATCGAGGCAGCATGTGGGACACTTAATATTCGCCTCTCGAGTCTGCAGCTCAGGAGGTGAACGGAAGGCTGTGATTGGAAGAGAGACTTAATTTATCATTGTCACGTTTTATGTCTCACTTTTGTGATAAAATAATTTTAAACGAGAGTACTAACTTTTTTCTACGTCGAAGACAGGCAAAACAATAATAATAATAATAATAATAATAATAAATGATACAAAACAATGAGTAGTTAATTCTGTGCTGGATAAAATACAAATTTGAGCCGCTCTTGTTCGAAAAGTAGTGCTACAAAGAATAAGGCCGCTGAGCACCCATCCCTCTTTCCTGTTTACTTCAAAAGCGCGCTTCACTCGGAATGAAGACAAAAAGACCCGCTGCTCTGTTTAGCATTTTCTCTAATAAGGCGGAAAATATTTCTATCTCTGTGCACGTAGAGGTCAAAAGAAGCGGACCTGGCTGGTCAAAATATTTATTAGTGACGTCAGTTGTCACGACTGACTGCGCACTAAGTAAGGTAACCTTGGCAAATTTTGTTTAGCGTTCGGACCAAATCCTGAGAAGGGAATTTGAATCTTTCCGCTCGATTTTTGTCGAATTTTTGAGCCTCATTTGGTAACATGTGAGTAAGTTCAGCGAGGTAAATCGCTTGGAAATGGCTCTGGCTGTGACTAATTTGTCGAAGCTTCAACACGAACTCTACCGTGAGAAGCATGACTTCCACAAGTTGTCTAGAAATGTCCAATCGTCTATGGTTTATGATCCCACGTACAATCGCCGCATAACAACCTACCCTGATAGGTAAGAGCAAAAAGAAATTGTTGAACTTTCTTCAGGTGGTTTCTGAGCTAGTGGAATTTTGTAAATTATACTTTACAAATGACACATAGTGCGAAGTTCATACTTTCGCCATGAATTATGAGATTATATATGGTAATTCTGTTGTCTACGGTCAAAATCTGCAAATTGTAGCTATAATTACAGCTGGTGATGATCACTGTCATCTCCCAATTCCGAACTATGAACGAATGGCTTTAAAAAATATCACGCAACTACTAGTCAGCACGTCACGGCAACAGGTTAGTAACGCTAGTATTCAACATTGGAGCACAATAGAAGAAAAGCGTGACAGCATGTGGGTGAGTTACAAAGACCAAACAAATTCGTTCCATACTCTCCACGAAAACAAAAAAAAAAAAAAGAAAGTTGCATAATTTCTTCGTTGGTGTCATTGTTTTTTTTTTTATCTGAACTGTAACCAGTTAACATCGGTCGAAAGCGTACTGTAGGCATGCAATTCGTGCAGAATGTTGTGTAATGACCAGTAATAAAGAAGTTCACCAAGCTTCTAAAGGGGTGTACTAGAAACATCTCAATCGTTAGAAGAATATTCATTGTCGAGTGGAAACAAGCTGGAGGGAAAACAGCTTAGGGGATATATTTCAAATTAGGGGATATATTTCAAAGACGCAATGTGACAAACTAGCAATGGTTACGTCAAGCAGAATATTGCTACATACATCAACCAAAACTACCTGCAGTAGTCACATCACCAAGGATTTATATGCAACACCCAACTAATAGAAGGAAGATGAATTACAGACTTATAGAATACAGCACAAACCAAGATCCCTTACCAGGAGAAGAGGGTACGGCACCCACACAAAAAGGATGTAGATGACTGCCCAGGAATCTGGGATTAGGCTTCTGAAAGAGGGAAGGTCAAGGTGTATCTGGGTGTGGTGTTCCCCTGGAGGAAACCCTAAGAAATTACCTCTTGGGGGCGCTTTGAACAAACCTGGCATTAAATTCCAGGTCCAGAGCACTGAAGTCAGTATCACTGAAACACATTTCTGTAGCTGAGTCCCTAAACACTCAGCCAAAAAGCTTCCAGTATATAAGTGATTTTGGTTTTTGAGGTCCCCTCCCTTCTTTCTCAGAATTTCAAATTATTTTTTAACAGGGTGAGTCTTGATTGAACTAAAATTGAACCAGACACTCATCTCTCTGGGTGAAAAAAAAATGTTACTGCTCACCTAAAACTCTTTCTAGATATTCACGCCACCTTGAACAAGCTGAAGTTCATGTCAAATGTCCCTGGGGTCGTGCACGCAGCTATGCTGGTGAAGCTCCAGTGTGTCTTCCTGAAAGTTTTCGGCCAAAGTGGGAACCACCCTTCCTCCTACAGAAAGGACACAGGCACTTTGGCAGTGGAGTTGATCCACATCCCAGGTGAGTTACTTCCTTGTTGTTAATGTCTGCAAATTCCATGCAGTGCTGGATTAAGTGACAACAATTATTCCAACATCCTTTAATGAGCAAACCGTGCCTTGCATTACTTGCCTTACCACTCAGAATCTAAGACAAATAAGAACATGATCAGGGCTCGAAGTTAAAATTAATTTCAGAGTAACCACCAAACATAAAATAATGACTTAAGACTTAGAAATACTTGGTAAAAAAGGCTCGTCTCTTTTTTTAGAAGAAAACAACAGAGCATTAAGAATAGTTTACACATATAAATACCTCAATTTAACTCTACACCATGAACCCCAGCTGCTAAATTGTTACAGCTTGCTACCTGAGCACCATGCAATAATTGCAATATTCACACTTTTAGCAGATAATTAAGTCGCCAAATTTGTTTACTATTCTTCATGGTGTCAAAAAATCTCATGGCTTGGAGCTTTGATTAGGGTCAATTACCTCGATTGTGGCTGTGTTCTAGCAGTGTGCAGGCTCCCTGGGTACTTAGCATTTGTCTTTAAAAAACTTTTCCCTTATGAAAGATTTAAAGACTGGGATACTCAAGATTTTTTCTAAGACTAAAACCTTAACACACCACCTGCTTCTACAAGAGCCCAACATTGTTGTCTACATCAGTTGCTGTGTCAGGTTCTCTGTTCTGGGAGATGTCGAAAAGGTGATTGAGGAAAAGGCTTGTATCTGAGAAAATCCTAACACTCTTTTCTCTCCGACAACCTTACATGTTCCCTTTTTAAGCATCTCCACCCATAATAAGCCTGATGTAAGCAGCAGTCACTTTTACATAACAGGGCACTGATATTGACAGGTGTTGCTAAATCTTTCCATGGATATCACATCAATGTCTCCCAAGAATTCTCAAAAACTATCTCCTTGTGACAGATATTTATAATGGTAATTGAACAGAGTGGAGTGCAATTTGGGCTGAAATCATACGCGTGATTTCAAAATCGAACTGGTGCGCAGCGCGAGTTCAATTTGAAATCACAAGTATGATTTCAGACCAAAATTGCGCGACACGAGGTTCAATTACCACTTTATTACATCCATTTTGAAATCGCCCAAATACAGGACTTGGTCAATTCAAATATTTTATTGATGCAGTACTCAGGGGTTTCATTAAGGGACAGGCACTGGGCAAATTGACCGGTTGTGAAGACGGTTTTGCCCACCTGATTTGACGGTCTGGAGTAAAGTTTACCTTATAAAGAAGTTCAGTTCAAAGAGTTTTGCCCACCTCTGAAAACCAGTTGCCCTCCTGCAGAAAACATTAACGGAGCCCCTGAGTACTGAGCCGGTTTTTAAATAAAAAGTGGAACCAGAAATGCGTTTACATCTTATTTTGTATGCAAGACAAAAAGACTTTGACATCATGTGTCAAAAACTCAGTCAAGCGTAAAATGATGTGATTTAGAGCAAAAAATGGTCCGATTTGGCAATAAATCACACCAATTAGAGCCAATCAGATTACAGGGACCACCAGTGATTTCAAAATGGATGTAATAAAGTAAATAAACCCCTTTGGGCGGCTGGTATGTCGGCTGATAATGTCCGCTGCTGAGAGATTGTCCTAAAAATGAACATTTGGCTGAGTAGCGAAACTTCAAGGGCAAATATGAAATTTTGAGGACAATCTCTCAGCCAAGGACATTATTAGCCAACATACCAGCAACCCAGAATGGGGTTTATTTATTTTATAACCCTGCCCTTAATTTTCACATCGCAATTAAACTGCGTGTAAACACAGTAAAAAAGCCAGTGGTGATCTGATGGCGAATGCGTGTGATTGACACAAGCAAGTGAAAAAAAAAAAAAGAGTTTGGTTTTCTTCCATGTAAATAGGAGAACGGAAAAGTTGAAACTCTTGTGTTGACTATGTTTCTTTTTCATGGAAAAAATCGGAGGACATATATCGACGCAGATGGGGGTTATTGAGTGATAACTGTCCTGTGATTTTGCATCACGTGACTTAAAGTAACCAGTAAAATCGCGCCAAAATTAATGGGTGGGTTATGATTGAAAATACCTCAACAAGCTTTCTTTGGCTTAAAATTAACCAAATTTAAGAGTTCCAAAAGTTTGTTAGAGATTGTTTCAATTAGTATTTTCACAAAAGGAAAGAAAAAAACCCTTTAAGGCTCCTCGATCTTACACTTTGGACAAAGAAATGAGTAAGGAAATTATGTAGCTTCAAAATGAGACTAGATAAGTTTATGAAAATAATCTTAAATTTTTCAAACCCTTTGGCCAAGGACGGGAGACATGAGAGACAAGGTTTCGTCTACTGTTCAAGGCACCCTAGAAAACAATGAGGGTGATATGTGGATAAACATTCTTTTATGGGGGGAGGGGGAATTGTGATGGAGTGGCAGTCAGAAAGTCCATGGAAGGGGAAATGCTGCTAAAACAGAACTAACCCAACTTGCATTGAAAACTTCCAGAGGAAACTTAAGACCATCTTCGGAAATTTCTGGACGTTGTCAGATATGATTGGGTTTTGTTTCGATTTTTTGCTGGCACTGCGAGGATAAAATTCTAACGCCTGTGACTCAAAAAGAGTTCACAAGTATTATCCTTACGTTATTTCTGGGAATTTATTTGCTTTTAATAGGGTTAGCAGTAGGTTTTAATAAATTTTTAGTTTCTACATTGTAATAAAGAAATTGAAATACACTTTAAACAGTTTCAGCTCAGTCAACACTTCTCTTATCTCTGAATAAGTGAAGTATAAGCTTATTTAATAAGTTTTAATTTTTGAACGCTGATGAAAACTAGAAGCCTTTTCATTTCTCTTCTCCTAAGTTCTACAAGTACTTCTACGTGTAACAGTGCAGGTTTTCATTGGAAACACGACTGTGCATAAGGAGAGTGACCGTGAATCAGTAAAAGAATGAACGCGGCCATGGTTGTTGTAATTCTAGAAAAAAGAAGTGCAACCTCTTCTTTATAAATTAAGAGTTCCGTTAATTGTTTCTTACCTTCACAAAACTGCTTCTCTATTGCTGTTCCTTCAGTTGTTCTCTAATAAATTAATGCGAATACATATATCAATATTTGCAATGCCAAGTTGCAGCCTTCTTGATGAATAACGCTGTGATACAACATTCCCCTTCCCAGTTTCCCCTCGCGTTGTTTAAAGAACGGGCAAGTGTCACCGACTACCACCCGACACTTCCCGAAGTCAAAGGAACCTGACGTCAGTACCAGGTTTTGGTAACATCTGATAAACATCTGACAAAGTGGCGCATTTTAGTGCTGAATTGAAAAAATTTCTGACCTTCTTAATGGTTTTTATTATAGAGGTCTTCCATTGCAACAGTTCTACGACCTGACGCAGCTTAAACGGAGTAAAGTGAGGTGGAACGATGAATTGTAAGTAAAACGTGGAAACGAGTTGAAGGTTTGGGGACGAACTGGCAAAGGTGGGGGCGAAATTGTTTTGCTTCGCTTCAGGGGGGGAAACTTGCTCTATTTCAGAGGGCGAACTTACCATAAAGCGAAAACTTCAGATATCCTACAAAAGGCTTGAACCCAGGTGGCCGAGATTCACTCCCTTTATGGGAAACGGAGGGGAGAGTTCTGGGACGGGACTAGACCTTAACTAGGCTACCCTAAAACACTTTTACCTGCTGTATATTCGGTCACATGATACGTTCAAGCCAATCGCGCGCGAGCGAAAGTATCGCTTAAATATCGACCTATACTTTTATTGATATATCTTTTCTCCTCTGTAGGTTGCCAAGGCCCACAACGGCTGCCGTGCAGTAAGTATTCAATTTTAGTAACTTTTCTGAACTCAAAAGAAAAGACTTACACAAAAATTGAGCGGTAAAAAAAATTAAATGGAATTTGAAAATTTAGGAACTTTCCCGGAAAAAATTTCGAAGGGAAAGAAGCTTCGTCGTCAAATGATAAAAGTAAAATTGATAAATAAAGTAAAATATAAGAGTAAAACTTCTATATAGTTATAAAAATTCTTTCTTCCTTCTACTCTTCCCCGTCTCCCCTCCAAAAAAAAGGTGAAGACCTTGTTTCTTCACGACCATAAAACGAATTTGAAAATTTAGAAACTTTCCTAGTAAAAAATTTCAAATGGAACGAACCTTCGTCGCCAAATGATGAAAGTAAACTTGATAGATAGGGTAAAATGAAAGAGTTAAACTTCTATATAGTTGTAAAATTCTTCCCTCCCTCTTCCCTTGCCCGTCCCCTCCCCTCCAAAAAAAAAAAAGACGGTAAAGACCTTGTCTCTTCGCGGCCATATTATTCTTGGTATAGTTATTTGAGGAATTGCAAAGCCAGCGCACCAAAACCCCTTTCGTTTGGACTCGTTTCGAATCCGCGCGATTCTTCTTCATTTGCGCTTTAAACGTTGTTTTAAATGAAAAATAAAAAGTATGCAGGGAGACCGGTAAAAGCCCTCTTACCAACGTCATTTAAGCATCTCAGTTTGGTTCCTTTCCTTAAACAAAAACAAAAACAATAATAAAAGTAAACAACGTTGCATGAACCAACCACTACCATGCCTGCAGAGACATCTTCAATAAAGTCCCTCCAAAGATTTAATGAGACTGTTCGTTGAGTAACCAACTTTATTAAAACCATTTTGTGAAGGGACTAGACGAGGGTGTAGCTAGCATGAAAAATTCAGGAGAGTCCCATTTTGAATATTGTAATATCTTGGTTGTAAGTTTTCAAGTGGGAGTATTTTTTTTTTATCAATTGTGTTTTTTTGGTTTTTTTCTTTTAACCCATGTCCACGGTTGCTAGAGTTTTCTAAAACTGTAATGTTGGTGAGTGTTGCCAATGCTATTTGTGCAGTTTGTGTTTTGTTCTTCAAGTTTGTTCCAGGTTTGACTCAATGTTTATACTGTTTCAGTCTATTGTGTTTCAGTGTGTGCTTTGGTAAGGTATTTCAATCATACGATAAGCTTCCTCCAGGTGCGTTCTGATAAGTGTGGTAAGCTAAAAAGCAAGTTAATGAAAAGCGGAGACTGTCTCAAGAGAAATGTTCAACAAGTTTGGCGAGATAATAAGCTATTTATAGCTAGCTTTTTTTAGTAGTAGGAAAAATAGCAAAAGGCACCATTTGTTCGTACGTTTTTCACTGGCGTGCGCAGTGGTCGAGTTGCACGCAAGGCGAGTGCGAGGATCGAGTTACGCGCGAAGCGAGTGCAAGGATCGAGTCATGCGCGAGACTCGACATTTGCGCTCAACTCCGCTTGCCTACAGAAAGCAATTAAATAACGCCAATTCTGTAGGCTTTATCAAACTGCAACTCATCAGATCTAGAATTGTGCTGATTGTGTATCAGTAGCGGAAACGCAGGATCGACTTGTGGGACGTTATTGATCACGTACTGAGTAGCTTCGCGCTTCGCGAATTCATTGGAACCAAAGAAACTGTTCATTGAGTTGAAAATATTTCAAGTCGAAAATGGACTGACTTGGACAACAACAAGAGGGCCGCCGGGATGTCACTTTCAAACGATCTATTAAACCTAAAGAAAGTAGTTGATGAAAAGGGCATGAAACGTGATGTTCCAGTATGGATGAAAAAACGAGGAAGATAGACATTTTGAATAAATAAGTTGTCATTGAACAAACCCTATGGGTTGGGGACGCACCCTTGAGACCATCTTTTTTCATAAAAGGGACGTGGGACTGAAAATTGTTATCTCGAGATCTAAATAAGTGTTTCGTTTTCAAACTTATTGTTGTTCAAATTGCACTGCAAAAAGACAAAAGCAATGTAAAATATTTTTGACATGGCCTTACGATATTACAATCTTCCATTATTAGTCTTTCTTTGTCGTATTCGTGTTGGTGATTACTATCTGTTTTTGAGAACGTGACAATGTTTTCCCTTTTTCCCACAGAGAAGGTCAAATCTATCTTCCTTTTCCAAAGGAGTCTTCCCTCAGTTCACACATGTCCCGTCAGGCCATGTTCCCCAGTCCAGCGCCAGCTGAACGCAAATATCAAGGCAAGATCACGTCACCCACCCCTCCCCCAATAATTGTGAACAAAGCCATGGGTAGCTTTGCACGTCGGGAAGTGGTAACACCAGTGTTCAACTCCAGGACCTCCCCTCCACTACAGCATCAAGTGCAACCTGTAGCAGTAAGTACAAACTCGTGAACTGCACGTGTAAGACTACTGTGTTTGAAATAATACAAAGAAGAAATGAAGAGTTCGACAAAATTATTACAGCCAGTTTAGAAGGATGGAAAAAATGTGTATTTTATCAACAATTGACTAGAGATTCACAGAAATTGTGTGAAGCCTGATGCATTCTGATACACTCAACTAAATTACCACCATCGAAATGTAAAGTTGATAGACGGTACCAATTTTGAGAACCACAAAATTTCCCTTATCTGAGATTTATTTCCGCGAAAGTACAATGACCTCGGTTTAATTCTAGAAAGTATTTAGAGGACCAAAGTTAAAGTAATGTCCTATCGGAATGAGAAAAATATCACAGAGAGCCAAAGAGAAATCAAGGCAATTACTTGTAAAAGGCCTAAGCGTCGGAAAGTTATACGGCTGAACGCCAAGCTTTATTGCAGCAGCTCATTGTCAGTGATACAGAGGGGCTATATTTAATTTTCCCTCTGATTGTTTGAGAGGTTGTGTAGCCTACTTGTGGCCGTACCCTCCACACCAGGAGAAACGTTTCTCTTTGAGGGGGAGGGTACGGCCACACGCAGGCTACACGTTGTCAAGATCAACCGTAGAGCAAAGTAAAGCTAAAAAAAATGCACTTTCAGACTTTTTTCGGCGCTGAAAAATTTCTCCAAAATGTCAAATATGATAAAAATGTTTTCCCTCTCTGTATTTCAAGGTGGCGAACAATTGGTTTTCAAAACACGATGTCATCAACCAGTTTAACAGGCTCCACCCAAGTAAGACCCCAACAATTCGACTCAACATTCAAAGGCTACGACGCGCAGACTGGAAACTAGTTGATTGACAACGGCTAAACCAGTCAGTCGAGAACGGCAGCTACCACTCAAGAATGGCCAGTGAATCACAACATAAGTTGTACTTCGATTATGGAGTTAGTTGAAGAGAGGTTTTTAGTCGTTTTTGTGCGTAGAATAGGTTTACTTTTTAATTTTTTACATGTCAAAGAGTGGATAACAGAGTTGATTACTTCTGTAACCTTGTAAGATTTTCACATTTATTTTGGAAGAATGGTTTTTCATAGACAATTAGGAACGGACTGATTGTGTTTTAAGTCTCGTCCAGACTTATTTGATTCCTTTGGATTTCCACTGTATATTAATAATAATAATAATAATAATAATAATAATATAGCATTTGTAGTGCGCAAATGCCATGTGGATATGCTCAAATGCGCATATCTTAAAATGAGTCATTCTGGCTTTTTAGTCGTTATCCACCTCCTACTTGTTTGTTTTTTTGTTCGTTAATGCCGCTGGAATTCCTAGAAAATTCTTAGAAGAAATTTCAACACTATAGGTAAATTTACCTAGCGTTCCGGATTGTAGAAAAAGCCTGGGGGGGAGCACTGCCCGGGATTTTTTGTGGGTGTGTATAGCCCTCCTATCAAATTCCTGACCTATTTCAGTCCAGAAGTGTCATTTTTATACCCATTTTGGACCTGGCCTCTAAAATCCATACCCGTTTTCAAGCCGGGCTTTGAAAGTTGTACCTAGTTTGCAACAAAGTACGCTTTGTTTTAGCGTACGGACACTTCCCCTCAATGTTGAAGCTCCAAAATTGACAAAACCCGCCTCAAAATTCAGTCGGAGCCATCTGTTTTGCTCTTAGTCTTCTGACTTCGGTTACTTCTCTATCTCTATTGTAAGTCTGCAGAGTTGAAAAGACAGATATGGTTATTCGTTCTCATGGTTCGTCGATTTACCACCACCTAAGTGACCAAAGTGTACACACGTTTCCAAACCAAAACAGCTCAAAAGCCATACCTTTGAAGAGGGCGCGTAATCATATGCTTTTATTCAGGTTGAAGCTTCCCCATAGCGACTTAAA